GTTGTTAACCAATGTCATAAAACAATATGTGTACTGACTGTTTAATGAGAAACTATTTGTTCTGTAAACCTTCATCTAAAGTACAATAAAAATAAGTAAGTAAATATCCAAAAAAACAAAGTCCAGGCCCAGATTGCTTTCACCGGTGAATTCTATCAAATATTTAAAGAAGAATTAACACCAACTTTTTAAAAAATGCTTCCCAAAATAGAAGAGAATACTTCCTAACCCATTCCATGTGGTCGGCATTACCCCGACACCAAAAGTCAAAGACATCACAATATAAGAAAACTACAGACCAATATCCATTATGCATTGATGTAAAAATCTCCAACAAATTAGCAGCAAACCAAATCCAGAAGCATACTGAAAGTAGTATACATCATGTTTCAACATATAAAAATCAGTTAATGTAATATACCACATTAACAGAGTAACAGAAAAAAAAAAACAATCATCTCAATAGATGGAGAAAAAGCATCTGACAAAATCCAACACCCTTTCATGATTTAAAAAAAAAAAACACACTTGATAAAGTAGGAATACAGAGGAACTTCCTTTTGATAAAGGCTATATACAAAAAAAGAAAAAAAAACCCACAGCTGACATCATACTCGATAACAAAAGACTTTTAAAGTTTTCCCCCTAAGATCAGGAACAAGACAAGGATGCCTACTTTGACTGTTTCTACTCAATATGGTACTGGAAGTTCAGTACCAAAGCAACTTAGGTAAGAAAAAGAAATAAAAGGCATCTAAACTAGAAAGAAGAAATAAAACTATCTCTACTCCTCCAAAACAACATAATTTTATATACCTGATTTTTCACAAATAACGGGCCCAAGTAAATAACATGCCCACTCATGTAATGCACCTAGGAAAATTATGTGCAAGGGAGTTGGCAAACAATGTGTAACACGTGCATTACTTGTGTAAAAATACAGTAATGAAAATCCTAAAGAGTCCCACACCCACCCCCCAAAAAATAGCTGTTATGGCTAATAAACTAATTAAACACCTTGCAGGATACAAGATCAACACAAAAAAGTCAGTTGTATTTCTACAGACCAACAATAAACAATCCAAAAAAGGAAATTAAGAAAACAATTCCATTTACAATAGTATTAAAAAGAATAAAAAACTTAGGAATTAATTTAACCAAGGAGATGCAACATTTGCACGCTGAAAATTCCAAAACATTGCTGAAATAAAGAGCTAACTCACTGCTGTCAAGTCAATTCCCGACACTTAACAACCCCATAGCACACAGTAGAACTGCCCCATAGGGTCTCCAAGGTCATAATCTTTAGTGAAGCAGACTGCCACATCTTTCACCTACAGAGCAGATGGGGGGTTCAAACCGCTGACCTTTTGGTTAGCAGCCGAGGGTTTAACCACTATGTCACAAGGGCTCCTCATAGTAACAAACGCCTGTGTTAAAAAAAGACCACTATCCCAAACTGATAACCTAACTCTACAACTTAAGGAACTAGAAACAGATGAGCAAACTAAACCTAAGGCTACCAAAAGAAAGGAAACAATAAAAAGCGGAAGAGAAACAGAGAAGAAAACAACAGAATCAATTAAAATCAGTCCAGTGTCTTAACCACTTAACCACTGTGCCACCAGGGCTCCTTTAAAGAGCTCACTCAGGGGATTGGAAGATGTAATATTAAGATGGTGACACTACCCAAAGCAATGTACAGATGCAATGCAAAAAAACCTGGTCCTGTTGAGTCGATGCCGACTCATGATGACCCCGTGTATGACAAAGTAGAACTGCACCACAGAGTTTTCTTGGCTGTAATCTTTACAGAGGCAGAACACCAGGCCTTTCTTCCACAGTGCTGCTGGGTGGGTTCAAACCCCTAACCTTTAAGTTAGCAGTCGAGCACTAACTATTTGCACCACCCAGGGACCTACAGATTCAAAGCAATCCCTGCCAAAATTCCAACGGCATTTTTTGGAGAAGTGGAAAAGCTGACCTTAAAATTTACATGGAATTGCAAGGAACACCAAATAGCCAAAACAATCTTGAAAAAGAAAAACAAAGTTCAAGGACTCATACTTTCCAATTTCAAACTTACTACTAAACTACAGTAATCAGTGTTGTACTGGCATAAGGATAAACAGATCAATGGAATAGAATTGAGATTCTGGAAGTGAACCCATATGTCTATTGTTAATTAATTTTCAACAAGGGTGCCAAGATCTTTCAACAAGGAAAGAACAATCTCTTCAACAAACGGTGCTGGTACAAGTCGATATGCAGAAGCACAAGAATGGAGTTGGACCGTTAACTCACACCACACACGAAAATTGACTTCAAATGATTCAAGCTAAATGTAAGAGGTAAAGCTATAAAACTCTTAAAGAAAACACAGGGGTAAATCTTCATGGCCTTGGATTAGGCAACGGTTTCTTAGATGTGTCATCAGAACTACAAGCAACAAAAGAAAAAGACGTAAAATAAATTTTATCAAAATTAAAAATTTTTGTACAAAGGACAGTATCAAGAGAGTAAAAAAGACAACCTAGAAAATGGAAGAAAATATTTGCAAATCATTTCTGATAAAGGTCTAGTACCCAGATATATTTAAAAAAATACAAATGAACAACAAATAAACAACCCAAGAAAAAATGGCCAAAGGACTGAAATAAACATTTCTCCAAAGAAGATGTACAAATAGCCAACAAGCACATGAAAAGATGCTCCGCGTTTATTTGTCATTAGGGAAATGCAAATCAAAACCACAACGAGATACCACTTCACAACCTGTCAGAACTGCCGAGTTGATTCCACCTCATACTGACCCTCCGGAACAGAGCAGAACTGCCCCACAGGGTTTCTAAGGCTACAAACCTTGGCAGACGCAGACTGCCACACCTTTCTCCATGGAGCTGCTGGTGGATTCAAACCGCCAACCTTCTGGTTAGCAGCCAAGCGTTTTAACCACTGAGCCACCAGGACTCCTTTCACAGTCAGCAGGATGGCCATCATCAAACAAACAGAAAATAAGAAGTGTTGGAGAGGATGTGGAAAAACTGAAACCCTCATACGCTGCTGGTAGGAATGTAAATGGTGAAGCCTCCACAGAAAACAATTTGTCAGTTCCCCAGCAGGTTAAACACAGAATTACTACAAGACCCAGAAATTACCACATGACTCCTAGCTATATATCCAAAAGAAGTGAAAACAGGTGTTCAAACAAAAACGTGTTCACGAATGTTCATTAACAGCATTATTCACAATATCTAAAAGGTATAAACAACCTAAATGTCCATCAACTGATGAATTAATAAACAGAATGTGGTATAGGCATACAATGGAATATTATTCAGTCATAAGAAGGAATGAAGTTCTGATACATACTACAATACGGACCAACCTTAAAAACATTATGCTAAGTGAAAGAAGTCAGACATGAAAGACCACATATCATATAATCCCATTTATATGAAATATCCCGAACAGGCAAATCCTAGAGACAGAAAGATTAGGAATTGGGGAGAAGGCAGGGAGAAATGGGGAGTGACTGCTTAATGGGTAAAGGGTTTCCATTTGGGGTGAAGAAAAAGTTCTGGAAGCAGCCAGTGGTGATGGCTGCACAGTACTGTGAATGTATGCAATGCCACTGAAGCATACACTTCAAAATGGTTTAAGTGGTAAATTTTGTTATATGTATTTTATCACAATTTTTAAAAAATGTAAAAAAAGAGAAAGAGATCAAGACAAAAACTTGACATTTTCAAATCTGACATTTTCTTTAGAAAAGCCAGTGTCGACCTACCGATCAGTCGTAGTGCTGTCTGTGTGAGGGCAAGAGTGCCCGAGTTCAAAAGGAGGTTCAGGTTGTTGGCTCCATGCTGCACGGTCAGCATGCAAAGCATCACCAGGAGAAAGCGAGCTTGTGGGATGGTCCCCAGGCTTGGTCCTGATGGGTTCTCATTGGTAATGGTTTGCAGGGGAACAGGCTGGATACCTAATAAGCATTGGCACCCACATAAATTCCTTGTGTGTGGACACAAGACATACATGATGCAGAAAGCATTAGCAATGTTCTTTAATTCTATTTTTCAGAGGATGTTCATAGAGGAAGAGTATCAGGCAGCTCTGTAATGATTTGTGATGGTCCTGCCACCTTCATTCCACATACGGCTATCTCTGTCTACACAATTTACCACACTGCTCTAGCATCCTCTAAGTATCCCTGCTGCCTGATTCATTTCATGTCAAGTGTAAACAGATGCGTTTTACTTCTCTTCCACAAAACCAATCCTAGGATTTCTCTGTAGATGTTCAAACAACCCCAGAAATAAGTATTAACAGAGGATACGGACATTTTGGGGTAGATGGTATAAGCGATACACATGAAAATATGTTAAAATTTAAAAGCTTTATTATTAGAATACTTCAAAATTGTGTCTTCTGCCATGTTTTGTTTAGAACCTGAGAAAGATAAAAGCGGCCTAGATTATTATTCTAATATACAAAGTTACTAATGTCTTCATGAAAGCAAAAATTACCATTTGCAAGCTTCCATAACACATAATTAAGAGCTAGGCTATGAAAAAATGCTGATATGGACGTGGGCATTACTGCAATGTCAACTTGAATATGGCCTATTAATTACCAGATATTTTTTAAACTCACCAAGCTCTTTAAATTTGGCATTTGCATCCATCAAAACATTTCGAATATTCTGCACAGCCCAAGCATACAGCTTGCCAAAAGTAACTTCCAGCAGCATTCGGTTAAAAGGTGGAATCAGATCAACATCCTTTAAACAATCTGCAAGAGGTTCCCTTTCAAACAAAGATAAACAAGGTTACTTAGAACATTATCACACTTGGAACTTTAACGGAACAATGTTTTGTTTCCAGTTTCTCTTATGAAAAAAATGTTATAAAATTTTACCCTATATCAATCCCCTCAGGAATAAGTCTTTGCCATCCACAAAACACAGCATATTGCACAGATGGAAGTAAGAAATTTTTGGCTGCCAGTTTTAAAATTGTATCTATCCCTTCCAGACGAACCTCTGCTCTCTCCAACTGCAAAATATCAATGCATACTCTTAAGTGTTGGGTATATTATCTCATGCAGAGAAGCATGTTCTCAACAAAGTTTACCTGTTTTAACAAGCACTTCCTCATTTTTTCCACATCCACTGGCTCTTCTTTAAGGGCAAATTCAGCAATTGTACTGAGCAGTGCAGACTGCGGATAGAGACCCTGGACATTCTGCTTCAGCCACTTGTACTTGTGGACACCTGTTACCGTACTCAGCAGTGGTTGCCATTTATCCTAACAAAGGAAAACCATTTTCACCTCTGGGTCTAAAACAGTTACTCAAATAAAACACAGATGAGTAATGTCACTAGGTTTAAACTGGTAAAATATTTTAATTAACTAATACAGTAAAATTGTATTTCTATGCCACAAATATGCTTATAAGTGAATTTATAATCTGTGGTTAAGCACTCAGCTGCTAACCAAAAAGTTGGCTGTTTCAACTCACCAGCCACTCTGTGGGAGAAGATGGGGCAGTCTGTTTCTGTAAGGATTTACAGCTTTGGAAACCCTATGGGGCAGTTCCACTCTGTCCTACAGGGTCACTATGAGTTGGCACTGACTCAATGGCAATGGTTTTTTTGTTGTTGTTTTGTCTGATACTATGTACTTTGGAACAGGCTAACTTGAAATACACACTTATCATTCATATTAATAGTCTCAAGGACCAGTACAGTTTCTGGAACAAAGGATATACTCAACAAGTGACTGGTAAATGAATAATCATATAACGTTTCACTAAAAATAACAGGAAACACCTCTTCATCTACAGGTCAGACCACAGCATTGCATATTAAGTTCACTGAGTATCACTGGGGCACAGTTATCCACACTTTTAGTAACAATCCCACTCCATTTACTACCCTACAGACGCTAAAATACAAAGCTACAAGGCTTGTGGATTCCTTTGCTATATGCTGTGTTTTATTTAACCAGTATCAGAATTACAGAAAATACTTCACCTTGGGTGATTTAATTGTAATGGGTCTTTTGTCCACATTTATAGGACTGTGAGGCAAAATGCAAGCTTCTTCTAAATCACTCTCTTCATTTCCAATTTTCTCTTCATCATCAGTAGATTCTGGCTTTTTAGAAACTACGTTTAAAAAAGTCATTCGTTATAAAAATAATCTACTTAAATATAATTCTTAATTAAGAAATATTTAAATGTGTATGAAGGTGTAAAATATAACTACTCTGTTCAAAGAAACATGTAAACTCCATTGTCAACTGAAATGGTCAAACTACAAAGTGAAGCCTGCCATAAAGAGTTCCACACCATCTGACATCCAACATGGACATGGAGCTCCACCATGTCAGCTAGGGCTACAAAGGGGGAAGAGCTAAGCAGCCCAAACATTTTCTTAAAGGACTAGGTCGTGAGTGTTTTAGTCTTTGTAGGTTATTCGGTCTGTCGCAACTATGCAGCTCTGCTGCTGTAGCATGAAAAGTAGCTACAGACCACGTAAACAAGCAGGCATGGCTATGTTCCAATATGAGTCGGAATCGACTCAATGGCAACAGGTTTGCTTTGCTTTGGTGCTCAAATAGAACTTTATTTATGCATACTACATTTAAATTTCATATAATATTCATGCATCAAAAATACTATTCTTCTCTTTGTTTTTTTAACCATTTAAAAATGTAGAAAGCATTCTTAGCTCACAGACAATAACAGAGGCAGGTATCAGGCCAGATTCGGCCCACAAACCCTGGTCTGCCCACCCCAGTCTAGCCCCATGATTCTGCCACCAGAACCAACTAGACACCTTTTTTCAAGGTGATCCTCTTTAATTAGGGAAGTTTCTATTGAATTTGCAAAGTGATAGGTAGTATTTGTTCTATATTTTTGGTCTCTTTGAAGGCTTTTAGTCCAATTCTACTAAGCATATGATATAAATAATAAGCAACATAATAAGCAACACCTGTGCAGGAAAGAGTTAGCTCAGCAGACCTGGCCTGCTCATTGCTGCACATTCCAAAGACAGGCCTGCCTACAGGACTAGCCTTTGGCCAGCTCCTGGAAGATAATCTCTAAGCTCTTGGGCTATTCTGTCCGGTAAGAGTGTTTTTGTATGCCTAAAGCCTTAGACCATGCTGTACCAGTTTCAGCAGATAAATTTATCCTAACGTTATGATTCATGGTGAATGTTTGTGTTCTGGGTCGGGGAGGGCTAAAGTCTGAGTAGCTGAGGTTAATCACGGGGGCACCATCTGCCTATCTGACTGACATGCAATAAAACCGTAGACTTCAAGGCTTAGGTGAGCTTCTTTGGTTGGCAATACTTCCCATGTGCTGTCACAACACTGTTGCTGGAGGAACCGAGTGAGTCCCCATGTGACTCCACTGGTGCGGCGGGGTGGCGGGGGGGGGGGGGGGGGACACCTGAAAGCTTGTGCCTGGTTTCCTCTGAACTTCACCTTTTGCATCTTTTCCCCTTGTTGATTTTAATCTGCATCCTTTCACTGTAATAAACCATAACTGTGAGTATTTAACAGCTGAGTCTTGTGAGTCCTTCTAGTGAATCATCAAGCCTAAGGGTGGTACTTCGTACACCAAACACAACATGAGTATATTAATTATTTATACTTTATAACTTATTTAATTTTCAAAAAAGGTTTCAGACATGACACAATAAAAATGTAAAAGCCCAAGACAAGAAGCTTTAAAAGGTGGCAAAGAAGGCTGAGAAGCCATGCACATGAAATGACCAAGTGGTGAAGGGAAATCATTCTCCCTCAAAGCTGAAACAGGCCTGTCTCCTGAGCCCGCCATTCTGCTAGGAGTCTCCTGCAGCCTGGGCTGAAGGGATCTCAGAGGTGTTACTGTGTTGTGGTTTAAGGGTTTGCTCAGAAGCAATCAATTTAGGATGGCTTCTAAAACATGTTAGTCTTTCATGTCATTACTGTTCAAAGTGTCCATCAAAAACTCAACAATCAGTATTGTTTAATCAGCTGGTCTGTCAATGAATCAGTATATTTCATAAGAGTATAACCAGAAATTTCTGAAGACCAGTTTATAACCACAAGTGGTAAAATTCTAAAACATTTTATGCACTTTTATTCAAATGCTGGTTATTTAATGCAAAAAGTCTTTTCCATATTCCCAGACAGGTGTCAGATGTTTCCTTAAAAATATCAGTAACTCTTCAAGTTCCCTTTAATAACTCCCCATGTATCAGAATACTCAGTACTGCCAAAGAAAAAACATTAAAAGAATTGTAAGATGAATTGTAAGATAAACTTTTACAAACATCTTATTACCAGGACACTTGATAAAAATATTTTCTCCGTCAATTTAGTGATGTTTACAGTATTTACCTTTTTCAGTAGCAATTCACTAGTAATTAGATCATAACACATTCTACTTAAAAGTTTCATCATTATCTAGTATCTTGTAAACATCAGCACGATTTCCATATTTAATCATAAAACCACATAACGAATATTACGGCAGTATGGGGAAGTGCCATACATTACAAACAGCAGTGAATAGCTTCACTCTGAAAACACAGGCTCAACTATAAAGGGGAAAGTTCACACTTGGACAGTATTTTCCTTTTATATTCTCACCTCTCCTTTTTCTTCGTTCTCTAATTATCTTCTGCGCTATCCTCCTCCAACGGGGCAAAGAACTTAACAGCTTAAACTTAGACATTATAGAGAGGTCATTACAAACTGCAGGTCTCAGTTCATTAAAAAGGAATCTCAGGCGTTCGATGACAGGAGCACAGACCTCCTTGTATGAACGGCCCTGTTCCTGGTGTGTCTGCAGAGTTCAATACGAAAACACAATTAAATACCAAACATCTGCAAGGCAAAGAAGAAAGAGAATTAAAATCTATTTACCTTAATTAGGGAGCATTTTGCTTGGTAGACAACTCGACAAACATCCAGCACTGACTTAGGCAGTGCTCTGTGTTTTACTTGCTCAATCCCAAGTGCACCGACGTGAACCAAAGATAAGGCCACATGACCTGTATGTAAAAGACATTTTAAAGAAGAGGTAGGGGAGGGAGGAATGTGTATCACATGGGAGTGAGAGACCTACAGGACAGCTAAAATACACCGAAACCTAACTTCATACCTAAATCTTCATGTTTTAAGAGGCAACACAGCAGCAAGCGGCCCACCTCTTCCACGGGATGCTCAGGAGGAAATGTGATTGGCGTGGTCAAGTGGTACTGCTTACAGTACCTTTCTATTTGACACAGAAAGTCCTGCAACAGAAGCGGCAAGAGGTCATTTCAGAGCCATCCTTGCAGGTTCACACCAACCCTGAACATGCCAAAGCTTCTGATGTATTTGCAATCAGCAATGTTTCTAAAATGTTGCCTGCACACTGAGTCAAATCAGCTTCTCACCTCAAAACCTTCCCTCCAAGTGACATCCGAAACCAAGTCTGGAGTAAGTTAATAATGAAACATTGGGAAAGTATGCACATGTCAAGTGCTAAGGTGAACACAAGGACACTCTGGCAGACTCAGCAGGGGAGGTGTAGAAGGTCCAAGTCTCTCTGTGACGGATCCTCAGAGCAAGCTCACCTTGACAGTGTGGTCCTGCATGTTGTTGTCAGCGATGGCCTGCAAAAAGGCCTGGGAATGGTCACCCAGGGCCCATCTGTGGGCACAGAGTCTGGATTTACTGGCAGGAGTGCCACCAGGAGAGCTGCAGTGGTCCTCATCCTTCTCCTCGTTGTAGCTGTAGTGGATCTGGCTTGTCTGCAGGCCTCCAGAGAAGACAGATGACTGGAGCCACTCTGGACAAGGGTAAGCACACAGTACAGAGAGGCTGAGTGCATCAGCCACATGTAGATACAGAGGAAAAAGATGCCGAATGAATACTTAGGAGGTGAAACTTAGCATCACTTATGTGAAAGCTGTATCTAACGTATTTACACAGACTGCCTTATAACTCCTCCATCTACGTGAAGCCAGGTAACACCTTCTGCTTATTCAGAATACCTTATGTGTGGTTATCAGGACTCGACATAATCCAGTGAAATCTGTGAGAGCCGGAACTCGAAGGGACTGCCTTGTTTTTCCAGGCCTCACAAGTTTCCACCTGTAACAGGGTGCAGTCTTACTACCTTTTTATCACTCATTTTAGTGGAAAATATTTGAGTTTTCCTTCTCTGACAGGTTTCCACGTTACACAGGTTATGGCTTTTGCAGGTTTTACTGTATTTCCAGTCCAACATTTATTAGATATCCTGCAGGGGGCTGTTCTGTCTCACAGACACCATATGAGGGTGGGGACTCCGCATTTTAACAAGGAGGCCAGCACCAAAGCACCACTGAGACGATTCATCACTCAATGTCAACTGAAATAACCATGCACAACAAAGTACTACAGGGGCTGAGGGCGTGTGCAGCAGAAAGACCTGAACTCTTCTGAGGGTCAGGGAAAGACTCCCCGTGGGAACAACTGAGCCCAGACGGAGAATAAGACAGAGACACAGAGCATCCAGCAGGCGAATGACACAGGTGAGGGGGTTAAAAAGGAAAACATCCCAAGGGCAGGCTACGTAAAGTAAGAAGAATAAGAGTATATTTAATGCACAGAATGCAATTTTTAGTAAGGGATGGCTCATTAAAGACACAGCAATCCAATGACCACTGCAGGAGATGCTGTGTTGTACCATACAGGATAGGCCAGGTCAGACAAATATGCCATCCGTCGGGTCAAATGGGAATGCTGACTGTAACTGCCTGTGATAACCAGAGGGAAATTCACCAAAAGTAAGGAATCAGTGTCTCCATCACTAGATCTTCTTAATAACTGTGTTATCGAAATACTCTTCTAAAACCCAAGCAATCAAATCTGAGATGCCCTCAGTGTTATTCCCTTGAGAATTTCGACCTGCACTCTGCAAACTGCCGCATTAATTTTTATAAAACACAGATCTGATCATGACCCTCCCTGGCTCTATTTCCAACACCTGGGGACTTCCTGCTTATTGTTCAAAGACACAGCTCCCCTACTGGCTTCTGCAGGAAGACCTTTCTGATCCCTAGAGAGGACCAGGCCTCCACCCAATAGGTGCTCACAGCCCCTTTCACTGCTCTCCTCCCAAAACTGCTTCCTCCACTTGCTGACCTAAATGAAGCAGGTCTTCCCCACTGTGCCTCGCACCTTTAGGACGAGGACAGTTCCGCTGCCCCTGGAGGGATGTCAGGCAGCACAACACACACACTCAGTGTCTGGCCATCCTCACCTGCTGAACTCAACTGACAACCCCAGACCCACCATAAACAAGCAGCTCGAAGCCCCTGCTTTTCTCAGTGATGCCCCACACACTTCGTGTCTCTGCCCAGATGCTCCCACACCAAGTTTGCTGGGACTGCAATTTCATCTCGAGTCTCAGTCAATTACTGTCATCTAGGAAGTCTTTCTTCCCCCAAAGCAACTTACAAATGTCTCTTCATGAGCCTTTATCACACTGTACCCTTATCTGCTTAAACTATTTGGATCATCCCCACAGGGAGCACCCTCAAGGCAGAAGCAGGCCTCACTCATGTTTGCACCCTGAATGCCCAGCCTGGGGACCTGCACACAGGAATCACTCACTAGGTGCTTGTTAGATGGATGGAGGACAGACAGATGGAGAAGTGTGCAAAACATGAAGAAAAATTTAAACTCATCTTATGGGACATAGAGAAATTTGTATTACTTCTGCTGGTTACAAAGGCTGCCATCCCTACAGCATCGGTCCCAAAGTCTGGTAGAAATACAATCCTCAAACAGAGTGTTTCTCACAATCAGAACAGACAACACACACTGCATGCGATGTCTGGAGATGTGGTGAGACGAGGGGCCCTTCTAGTAACCCCAGCGAGAGAAAGCACAGCCATCGGACACGTGCCTACATGCCAGGAAGCTTCCTCTGTCATCACAGACCACGACAGTGAAGAAAGTCACACTGATTGGTTTAGCCTGACTGTTCTTACTTTTCATCATCAACAACTGTGTGGATCTTCTTTCTCTCCCACTCTTAATGGCACTTACGTTTCTACTGAAATAACCTGCTAATCAGTTCACAGAAAATAAAATTTTTCTTACTGGCGCATTCAACCTCAACAGGAGACAGCGGTGTGCTCATTGCTAAATAGGAAGCATGTAATCCGAGAAGAAGGCCCAAATTTCTCTCTGTGTCTACAAGAGGTGAAGAAAGGCTTCCCAGGTCTGGTATGGTAACGACTTCTTGGTCAGGCTGGGAAAAATAAATTTCATCATCAGTCTGAGAAAATGGGGTTAATTAAAAAACAGAAAACCAAGAAGAGTACTAGCTTACACCCTTAAACAAGACTTAACTGATATGATGAAGAGAACTGAGTCTCTGGGGGCCCCATTCCTACATCCTGTAATAATGAGCTTATGCTGCCATGCTAGAACAACAGACACCATATAAACTACACACACCCTACAAAGCAAAAAGCAGATACACAGCTCTGCTGGTGGAAAAACCAAACTACAGATAAAGGCCTTAGTTAGAAAATTCCTTAGGGAGCCAGACAGAAGTTCCCAGAGTGACTGTGCACAGTGCTTCAGAAAATATACTGAATTATTACATGCATAATGAACCCAATGAGAAACAAAAATATCACATAACAAAGATTGCTGGTTCCTAACTTATTGAACCGTGACCATACATATAGTGGAAATAAATACATTCTAACAAAAAGAAAACCTGTTAAAAAAGAAAGCAAGAGTTCATATAACAATAACCTTAAATTCTTCCAGTCACATCAGACAATTTACAAGCAAAGTAATTTTCCCCATCATAAAATGCCATAAGTTGCACCCTTGCGGCATTCAATGAATTTTATTCCATAGACATACCTAGAAAGCTGATCCCAACATATAAATTCTAATGACCATGAATATGTGGGAAGGACATATTTCTGTTCTGAAGAATTATGCTTCTATACAGTTCTTCGCAAAAAATATACACATTTTTTATACAAGGCAGTAAGCCATTCCATATTTCTACATAAGCTTACAATAAAATTGTAAAGGCCAGAGGTTAACCTCTTTTTCTGGTGTAAGAGAACCTGTACTTCTTACAAATCAACAATTTTAAAATAATTTTTCAAGAACAGCACATCATAAATCTTAACACAAGTAACTGTAAATTCATTTATGGAAAACTTCTAAAGTGTCTCTATGTTTATACTTAATGCCCCTCAAAGGCCCACTTAATAATACCCACCCTGTAGGGCAGTCATCCTACCACACACAGAAGCCCTCCCTGCCACTCCCCAGGGAACCCCTGCACGCAGCCTCACCTCCAAGTACTGGCCCACACAGAACGCATGCATCGATTCCTGCGTGTCTTCAAACTGCAGAGCAGCTTCCAGAGCAACCACTGGGTCTTCCCCTGCAAACTGAGCTGAAACATAAACAAAAAACGTAATTACAAAGCAATATGACTTCAACACAATTTGCCTAAACATCTGTAGCAGAAATGGCTGGTTAAAAGCGAGGGACACCTAAGTATAATATCTTTCACCCCCTCCCAGGGCTACCTGGGCCAACTCAGAGCAACTTGTTTCCACAAAAATGCGTATCAGTGAGAAATTCCTCAAATGTGCTTGAATTAGTTGACAAGACAGACACCAAAGTCACAGATACATTAAAATGTGTGGAGGCTGGTACAACACTAACCAGATCACTCACAGGCCAAATGCTCTGTTTAAATGAAACGTGCTAAAACTTTTAATGCTGGAGTGAAAACCAAGGCCTTACCAAGAATGCTGTTTCCTGTCAAAGACTGAGTCTGAAAGTCTTTGATGTCATACACTTTTCCATCAATCACCGTCCAGAAGCCTCCATCTTTATTGTGGTTCTCCAAATCAGCTTTGCGGATAAATGTCACCTCCTCATTATTCCTACAGTTTTGACCTGTAAAAAAAGACTCTGTATATACAGAAACCAAAATCAATCAATCAGTAGATAGATAAGTAAAATGAAAGAACAAATTGTGTGAAAGAACTACAAGAAAAACAAGCAAGTCCACAGTCACAGTGGGAGATGAACACACCTCTCTCTGTAACTAACAAAAATTCAGCAAGGATATAGAATGATAAAGAACAAAACCACTTAAGCAGCGTAAATGGCAAATCTGATCATATGTCAGAAACAAACGATAGTGGCAGGAGTCAGGGCTATGATTCTTTCCCAAGAGGAAGGGGAGGGCAGTGACTGGAGGGGCACAGAGGGCATCTGACAGCTGGCAACACTTTGTTTCTTGACCAGGGTACAGTGGTCACATGGATGTGATCACTGTGTTAATTTGCTGAGCATACCTTGTGCATTTTCTTGTATTTGCATGATACTACTATATTATTTTGCGGCTAGGATAGAAAATGTGCTTGTTCACAACAGAAAGAAGCTAAAGTATTTGGGCAGATAGTGTCAGGTTATGACATGTTCAAATGCCTCCATATGTGTGCATGTACAAAAAGAAAGCAAACATGGCAAATTATTAAACAAGCACAGAACCTAGATGAAAGATACATGAATGTACATTGCACTATCTTGCGACTTCTCTGTAGGTTTGAATTTTTTTTAAATAAAAGCTGGGCTCCCACGACACCCTACACCCTAACCCTGCCCAAGAAAACAAATGTTCACAAAGATAACTCCAGATCAAGATGTTTTACCTGGCAAATTCTACCAATCTTATAAATATCCTCCCAAGGAAAGAAAATTCTCCAGCTCACTCTAGGAGGATATCACAATAATTGGTACCAAAACCCGACTGCTGATTCTGTTTTTCTATTATCTGATTCATCAGCTAGTTTCTCCCGACTCTAATATTCTCAGCTGAATAGACTGTCAACAGAAATTAACAGGGGTTGCTGGAAGCTGCCTGCTTCCTGATTTATAGCCGCTTCTTTTTTAGTAGAGGTCTGGTTGTTGTTGTTGATGTTGTTAGGTGCCACCAAGTCGGTTCCGACTCATAGCGACCCTATATACAACAGAATGAAACACTGCCCGATCCTGCGTCATCCTCACAATTGGTGTTATGCTTGATCCCATTGTTACAGTCACTGTGTCAATCCATCTGGTTGAGGATCTTCCTCTTTTTCACTGACCCTCTACTTTACAAGCATAATGCCCTTCTCCAGGGACTCATCCCGCCTGATAACAAGTCCGAAGAATGTGAGACATAGTCTCACCATCCTTGCTTCTAAGGAGCATTCTGGCTGTACTTCTTCCAAGACAGATTTGTTTGTTCTTTTGGCAGTCCATGGTATATTTAATATTCTTCGCCAACACCATAATTCAAAGGCATCAATTCTTCTTCAGTCTCCTTATACATTGTCCAGCTTTCCCACGTGTATAAGGCGACTGAAAACACCATGGCTTGGGTCAGGCACACCTTAGTCTTCAAGGTTACATCTTTCTTTGCTTTTTAAAACTTTAAAGAGGTCTTTTGCAGATCTGCCCAATGCAATGTGTTGTTTGATTTCTTGACTGCTGCTTCCACGGGTGTTGATTGTGGATCCAAGTAAAATGAAACCCTTCAAAACGTCAATCTTTCCCGTTTATCACGATGTTGCTTATTGGTCCAGCTGTGAGGATTTTTGTTTTCTTTATGTTGAGGTAGAATCCATACTGAAGGTTGTGGTCTTTGATCTTCATCAGTAAGTGCTTCAAGTCCTCTTTACTTTCAGCAAGCAAGGTTGTGTCATCTGCATGAAGGAGGCTGTTAATGAGCCTTCCTCCGGTACTGACGCAGGCATGCTGGTTATCAGTAACTTGTAGGGCATTACAAGAAAACAAAACTATAGGCATATCTCACTTACAAACATTTATCACAACAACAAACCAACATCAGCAATACCGTCATCCCTCGGTATCCACAGGGGATTGCTTCCAGGAACCTCCCCTCCCGTGGACACCAAAATCCACAGATGCTTAAGTCCCTTATATAAAACGGCTAAGTATTTGGATATAACCTGTGCATGCCCTCTCATATACTTCAAATCATCTCTAGATTACTTACAATACCTGATACAATGTAAATGCTCTGTAAATAGTTGTTAAACTGTACTGTTTAGGGAATAATGACAAGACAGGAAGCGAACAACAACGCTCAAACCATGAGTGCTGTAGAGAGACTGAGGATCTGTGACATGGTGGGAAGCCACTGTGGAATTAGCATAGTGCTCAGCCTGCGGCAAATTCTAGTTTTGCTTTTTGGAATGTTCTTCCCCCCCTCCGCTCCCCTCCCAAATATTTCTGATCTGCAGTTGGTTGAATCCGCAGATGTGGAACCCACAGATACGGTGGGCTGACTACATATATTATCATGACCAATATGTATCAATGTGACCAAGATAGCTTTATTCCAGAAATGAAAAGTTGGTTTAACACTTAAAATATCAATAATTCTCCCATAAATAGAAAAACTGTATAATCATCAAGAGATGCAGAAAAAGTATCTGATAAAAATTAAACATCCATCCACAATTAAAGGAGCCCTGGTGGCGCAGTGGTTGCTCAGCTGCTAACCAAAAGGTTGGCAGTTCGAATCCACCAGCTGCTCCTTGGAAACCCTATGGGGCAGTTCTACTGTGTCATCTAGGGTCGCTATGAGTCAGAACCTACTTGACAGCAATGAATTTGGTTTGGCTTTGGTTCACAATTAAAACCTCATAGCAAAGAAGAAACAGAAAGTTCCTCAATATACTAGAAATATCTCCAAAAAGAACCCTACAATAAACATCACACTTAATGTGTGAAATTTGGGACTGGGATTTCCTCTGATACTAGGAACAAGACAAGGATGCAGAATGTCACTATTTGTATTCAAAAATTAACTAGAGGTTCTAGCAGCACGATAAATCAAGGCGGAGGGGAGCTATACGATCAGAAATAGACACAGGCTCCCAGAATAATCTGACTGATGAAAAGATGGCCATCCAAAAGAGTAACCAAAGGCAGTCTTTCAATCAAAGGTTCTGGCACAATGTCATTATGACAAAAATCTCCATGTAGAAACACCGAATGAAGTGTGACGTCTACCTCAGAGTATACACAAAAATTAATTCCAGACATGACAGAGATTTTGGAATTATCAGATTGGGAATTTAAAATAATTATGAATAATATGCTAAGGACTCTAATGGAGAAGGGGACAACATGCAAGACGAGATGGGTAATGTAAGCAGTGAGATGGAAACTCTTAAGAATCAAAAGGAAATGCTAGAAATAAAAAACACTGTAAGAGAAATAAAGAAGCCTCTGATGGGTTCACCAGTGATCGGACAAAGCCCAGGAAGTAATCACTGAGCCTGAAGATATGTCAGTAGAAACTTCCCAAACTGAAAAAGAAAAATGAATGAAAAAAAATGAAACAGAATATCCAAGAACTGTGGGAGAATTACAAAAGGTGTAACATGTGCATAATGGAAATACCAGAAAGAGAGAAGGGAACAGAATAAATACTTGAAGTAATAATGGTTGAGAATTTTCCAAAATTAATGACAGATACCAAACCACAGATCCAGGATAAATATTAAAAAATCTACACCTACATACATCATATTCAAACAGTTGAAAATCAAAGACAAAGAAAAAATCTTGAAAGAAACCAGAAGAAAACAAAACACCCTACCTATACAAGAACAAGGGTAAGAATTACATCAGACTTCTTATCAGAAGGCAGGCAAACAAGAAGTCCAAACCCACTGCCGTTAAGTCGATTCCAACTCACAGTGACCCTATAGGACAGAGTAGAGCTGCCCAACCGGGTTTCCAAGGAGCACCTGGTGGGTCTGGACTGCTGACTTTTTGGCTAGCAGCCACAGCTCTTAACCACTATGTCACCAGGGTTTCCAACAAGAAGACAGTGGGATGAAATATTTAAAGTGCTGGGGGAAAAAAAAAAAAAACCCACCAACCTGGAATTCTATATCTAGCAAAAATATCCTTCAAAAGTGAAGGAGAAATAAAGTCTCTCTCAGGGGAAAGAAAACTTGAGGGAATATACCGTGACTAGACCTGCCTTGCAAAAATGTTTAAAAAAAAGTTCTTCAGAGAGAAGGAAAATAATATAGGTGAGATACTCAGATCTACATAAAGAAAGGAAGGGCATTCAAGAAGAAATAAATGGAATTAGAATAAATTATTTTTCTTATTCTTAATTGATCTAATGAATAATAATTTGTTCAAAATAATAAAAGCAACAATGTATCCAATGATTATAGTTATGAATAAATGATATGAAAGAAGAGAGGAATTGGGATTACTGTTATAAGGCACCTACACTACCCATGAAGCGGTACAGTGTTACTTGAAAGTGGACTTAGATTAATTTTAAATGCATACTACAAACTCTAGGCAACTACCAAAAATTCTTTAAAACAAATATAACTGATTTGCTAAGAGAGGAAAGAAAACAGGATCATATAAAATGCTCAGTTAAAACTAGAGAAAGCAGCAAAAAACAGAAGACAAAAAAGAAAGAACAAAGGCAACAAACAGAAAACAAATACGAATATGGTAGATATTAAACTAACTTTAACAATAATCACTTTAAATGTGAAAATGGTCTAAATACCCCAATTTAAAGACACAGACTGTCAGAGTGGATTAAAAAAAAACAAGATGCAACTACCTGTTGTCTGTAAGTAACCCACTTTAAATATAAAAAGACAGATGAAAAGTAAAGGGGTAGAGTCCACCCAGAGGTGGCACTCTGCTGCTAGATGAAAGGTTGGTGGCTTGAATCAACCAGAGGCACTTCAGAAAAAAGGCCTGGTGATGTACTTCCCAAAAAAATCTGTCATCGGGGTAGGAAAAAAAAGTCAAGGGATGGAGAATGATATACCATGTTAACATGTTAACACTAATCAAAGAAAGCCAGAGTAGCTATATTAATTTCAGACAAAGCAGAGTTCAAAGCAAGGAAAATTATCAGGGATAAAAGGGGGCAATACATAATGATAAAGGGGTCAATTCTCCAAGAAGACATAACAATCCTGAATGTGTATATGCCTAACAATAAAGCACCAAAATATCTAAGGCAAAAACTGATAGAACTGCAAGGAGAAATAGACAAATCCACTATTATTGTTGGAGACTTCGACATTGCTCAATTAGTAACTGACAGATTCAGCAGGCAGAAAATCAGAAAGGATATAGTTGAACTGAACAGCACTATCAATCAACTGGATCTAACTGACATTTACAGAATACTTCATCCATCAATAGCAGAATATACATTCTTCTCAAACTCTCATGAAAACACTGACCAAGACAGACCACATTCTGAGCCATAAAACATAATATTAACAAATTTAAAATAACAGAAATCAAACAAAGTATGCTCTTATGCCACGATGGAATTAAACTAGAAATCAGTAACATAAAGACAGCTGGAGATTAAACAACAAACTTCTAAATAGCACATAGGTCAAAGAAGTCTCAAAAGAATTTAAAAATATTTTGAACTAAATGAAAATAAAAATAAGCTTATCAAAAAAAGCGTGGGATGCAAAGATAATTCTTACAGGGAAAGCTATAGCATTGAGTGCACCCTGTTTGTTAACCTGGGGGATGTTACATGGCTTTTTCTGTGATAAATCATAGAGCTGCCTTGTGCACTTTTAAGTATGTGTTATATTTCACAATTTAAAAAAGGCTTTAAAATGAGTATGTTTGAACTGCTGAGCAAATTAAATACCCTCGAACATATTTAGTATAGATACAAAAATAACCAATGCCCATTTAAGTTCATTTTTAAATAAATGTAGATGAATGGTGCTAAAAGTATCAGCAGTATTAAAAAATAATTTACTATGTTTGGCACAGTACTTGATAGATAGCTAGACAGACTGAAAGATATCCTAAAGGCTATTGTCCTCAGGACAACTGCTACTTCTTGTTTTAAATTTCTGTGTTATAAAGATGGCTCTCTGAAATGGGAGAAGAAAAATCCCACCTAGACTGAGCTTTCATATAAAATGAAAAGTATATCATGTCCCTCAATCATAACTTCTATTAATTCTGAGAGTGCAGGAAACCAGAATCATACAGATTATGCATACTCAGGCTTAGAGCCAAAACCACCAAAGCTCAGAACCTTGAGAAGATGCATTTCATTTCATAAGGTGTGCACTACAGACAGTACCTGTTGAGACATGCTCAGGTGACTACAGGAATCTCATAACTCATGATCATCAAATAACACCAATACCTCTGGGACACCATCCCATATCAATTTCTGCCTCCTAGGCTGGGTCACATCTAAGTACCTCAACAGCACCTTCCACGAAATGGTTTTCCAGAACTTTCTAGAATAATTCCTTTTAGGATTTAGCAACCATTGCTTACATAAAAATCTCCCTTAAATATAACCCAAATCTCTTCTGATTTGTATTATCTTTATTTTCCATTTACATTACCATCAATGGAAATGGCAAATAATTGGTCTTCCTTTGTATTCTTTCAAATAGAAAGGCAGTAACAGGTTAAACTAGGACAAAACTTTTCTCAGTGAAAGTACTACAAATTAAAATGCTATACCCATTATGCCAGGCCAGGCTAAATCTTCATGATCATCCCTTTCTTTTCCTGGTGCCAGGTGGTTGAACCGATCCAGGTGTTCCAACAGGCCACCCAACAGAGGAATAGCTCCAGCCTCTTGCATGAGACCAGCATTTTTACTGAGCAAAAGCATTACAGACACTACTAGTTCTGGAAGGAGAACACCTAAATTAAAAAAGAAAAACGAAAAAAAGCATTGAAATTTAAATTATAAAATCACCTATAAACTAGCCATATCTTTAAATTCTGATAAATTGGGAAATAAGGAAAGCTTTGTCCTTGAGCATAGTTTTACAGGGTTATTTTATCTTTCATTTTGAAACAGAACCTTTTGAGTTACAATAATACTTTTCAAAAATACTGTTTCAACACAGAACTATTATCTAAAGAGTCTTTTATTTTAAAAAAAAGTTTATCAATACATATGCCATCAGAGAAAGGCACTCAATCATATGCTCAAACATCATGAAATTAAATAAATACTAAGTAATATTAGAATTAAGTTTCCGAAAGGGGCAACTAATTTTTATGTCACTAAAATAAAATTAGACAACTACCATCAAACTCATTATTGAAGTGCTAATACTGGTGGTATAAACCTAAATCACTAATTATATTTATGGTGATATGATTGCCACACCAGGTGGCTTAATAACAGAATTGTTAGTAACTAAAAAACAGAAAAGGCAATAGGGCAGTAGGACTAGAAAATTTAAAAAGCAAACACATGTTGTTTTATCAGGAAATGGTACATTTCAGCTTTCATCAATCTCCTAAAATAAATACTGGTGCACAGGATGGAAATAGGAACAGTACCGGTGAAGTCTCCTTCCATGATGCAGGCCACTTCTGCAAAGTGCCGCCAGCTAGTAGAAGCAATGCTAGCTGCCACAGGCAGTATATCTCCAATATGTGTGCACAGTAGAGCTGTGTACTTTTTCAGCAAAGAACCAACACCCATTAGCTCAGGACCTTGAAAAATGATTTAGGAGATTTCATTTTTACTTTACTTTGTAAACAAACTGAACATCTCCACTATGCCCCTCTCATCTGTATACCTTGTTATCTGTAACAGTTTCTCAGCAGCAGCATAGTAACTTTGTCCTTGGTTCATCTTACACCATGTAACTTCAGGGACAGTGAATTTGACTATGCCATATTTTATACACCGTACTACATACTACCTAGAAACTTCAGGTGTATAATAAATACTAAAGTCATAATTTAATAGATTTTAAAAACTTTATACCTAATACACAAATGTTTGTTTTCAAAGTCCAAGTCTTAAAGCTTGTAAACTACTCCCAAGGAACAAAGTCAGCCATTTTTCAGTCTTATCTTCTTACATGGTTCTTAATAACTTCTCAATCCTTTTGACTTTGTCTCTTTCTGATGGTCATCTCTTTCAGACTACAAATGCACCTATTTTAACCTGAACACTCAGCATTTACAAGTGTCTAACTTTTTTCAGGATGTAACCATGTTATTTTATGAGAATAAACTAGCCATAAAAATACTGACACGAACAGCAGGCCTCTCTGCTCTTGGCAGAGAAAGATACATGCATGGAGCACACAAATGACCTGCAATGCCTGTGGGAAGCAGCGGTGACTGTGTAGCATGCACAGTGCTGCCCATACACATTATCCAATTTCAATCCTCACAAGGCACCCCCGAAGCCATGTTCCCAGTTTTGTAAATGAGAAAGCTATGGCCCCCAGGAGACTAACTTAGTCCAGTGTCAAACAGCTAACAAACCACAGAGCTATAACCGAAGCCCAGTCTTCCTCCAATGATGATTCCTCCCACTGCACCCAACTGACTTCCCGACGTGACACACTAACTAGTACATTACTGTTTCGCTCCTATATTACGTCAGTCTCCAACACTCCTAACTCACATGTAGAACAGATCTGATAAATCTTCTAAAAGACTAAACTGAACATAAAGGATGCTATTTCTGATGTCTAAAGAGTTGAAATCTTAAGACAATAAAATAGAAAATATTACTGAGTCTAATATAGAAATAATCAACAACAACAAAAAAACTGGATGCAAAATGAACTCCTGTAAGTCCCCCAAAATCGGTGCATTTAATAGTGTAAGAACTACACATCTGAGTATACAGAATGGGCACACCAAAATGCCTAAATAAAAAAGCACTAAAATACAAGACATTTTAAGCAACTTACTAGAAATATCTGAGATCTGATCAGTACTCTCTCCTGGATAAAGTTTACTGATAAGTAAACGCTGAAAGCGCAGTAACAAGTCCAAGGAAGCAGATCTGTCACTACTGTGCTGCTGTTCAAAGTCCAGACACAAGGAGATCCGGCGAGCAGCATCTTTCAATCTGGCCACAGTCTGAGAAGCAATGTTTCTGTGCAGGGGAGAAAGGGTTGCAAATTAAACAAGTCATCTCTGTTAAAAAAAAAAAAAAAAAAGAACGAAAGTAAGAAAAAAGAGAGAGAATTAAAAACTCGCCACAGGAACTGAAACCAGAAACACTGCTCAGACGTGTGGCTAGCTTCCCTGCCCAGACGCGAGAGGTGTGTCTGCAGCAGTGCTACCTCACTGAGCACTGAGCAGAGGGGCCTGTAAGACTCAAGACAGACTGCTGCCCCTCTGCTTTACAAAGTGTGCTCCTAAAGAGCTGCATAAAATGGTCCAAAATGATAGAGGATCTTGTTAAAGGAGTAAGCCAGTAAACACCTTTGGAAGGAAAAAAATCATGTCATTGTCTTTGTACAAAGCTGCATTTCAAATATAAACCTAACACTGTTCCTACAGACCAGCTCACCCACATAGTTGCATCTACCTTAGAAGTCGGCCTTCAGCACTACAAGGGAGACCATCAGTAGATGGGGAGGAAGGTGAAGAGTGAGCTCCCAGAAGCCATGGTTAGAAAAGTAGTGCATGTTTCTGGTCTCATGAGCAGAATGCAAAGGTACAGGGCCAGGAGGACAACAATGCTGGGTGGGTGGGGAGAGGTGTCAACACTGCCAGTGAGGGAGCACCACGCTGCTGGGGCCCAAGTCTGCACTGTGAAGTCATCATCTAGTTTGTGTCTGAAGGAGACAGCTCTCTGTCTGTGTGAAAGTAGAGGGGACAGAGGAACACCAGGTAAGACAAACCCTGACTTGTAACAACAGTCCAAGCCCAAAGTGGCCAAGGCCTGGTGATCGGTACTAAGAGCAAAAAGGAGGTAGTGGGCTATTAGAGGCAGAATGTCCAGGAGGGAGGAGAAGAGCCAAAGACAAAGCCTTCGTCAAGAGCTGCCACAGACCTTTAGCTCATTACAGCAGCCCTACCTCAGCCAAGAGGCACGTGCCAGGCTGGGCGACACCGGGCACTGCTACAAGAGGAAGAGTCTGGGCATCACTACAAGCACCAGAGTCAAGGACATGCTTTCCGTTTCTACTTCCTTGACTCCTAACCTACCAGGTTTGCTGAGAACCTCCCACACAGCACTAAGGCACACCCATGAAGCTCCCTCCTGCTTTCCACAGTCAGCTTCCAGATTCAGTACCTAAGGACCTTCCCTGACACCAAATGTCACAACAGAAGAAACAGGTCTAGAGTTTAGCTTTTATGCTATACTCAGAAAAGCAAAAGATAGTAATAAAATACAATAATAATTTCAACTTATTTTCTTAGTATAAAACTCAGACCCATAATCAAAATGTATAATTCTGATAGGGTTGACTACTTATAAACATTACAGAGCTCTTTATTTTCAAATACAAATGGTATTCTGTGGCTCCCTGTCAGCATAAGACTAAAGAGTTCCTCTCAAATCTGTTTCACAGTTTATTTTTGGCAAACAGAAATTTCTTTAACTCAAGTTTCCCCAGGGATAAAGTACATGAAATATCTTCAGGATATTTTTAAAATAACTGATCCGCTAAGTCAACACATCAAATACACTTTGATCACCAACACTTAAGGTAAGAAAATGACGTCAATGTCTACCTCCCCAAAAGGAGGGGCACACCACCTATGCTTTGAAGAGTCTGGCTCATAAGCATTCTGATAGTGGTAAAGCTTTGAATGAATTTTTGTTTTTCTATTTTCCAAATGTTTTATAAGGAGATATTAACTTCTACGCTTAAGTATTTATTTTGTATTTTTTAAACAGTTATGTGTTTATTATAAATCTGCTATGGAACCAACTCCTCCCTAAATGCCACAGGGACCAAAAGAACCCCCTCAGGGAAGATGAAGGTGCAGAAGGCAGTCCATACAGACAGCAGAGGGCAGTGCTGCCCAACAGAAGCACAATGTGCATGAGACACATGTGTAAGTTGAAATTTTTCTATTAGTCACATTAAGAAAGGTAAAACAAAACACATAAAATGAATTTTAATACTGTACTTTACTCATACCAGTATTTTCAAAGTAATAATAAATAAGAAAAATTAGAGAGATAGTTCACATAAGTTTTTTTCATACTAGGCCTTCAAAAGTCACTGTGCATTTTATACCTAAGAGCGTATATCAATTTGAACACTAAATTTTCATCAAAAATACTGGATCTGTACTTAGATTCATAAAATGTACAGTTGATAAAATAGACTCACATGCCCAAGTTATTCCAAATGTACTTAAGTTTTCCAAGTGCTGAATTAGATATCAGTTTTTACATTTTAATTTTAATTAATGAAAGTTAAAGTTAATACTACTTACCTAAGAAGCTGTTGTATGAGCTGAACCAGAGGCAAGCACTGCTTTCCAGAAGATTCATAGATCCCTGTATTAATAAGGTCTTTATCCAATGGAGTCCTACTTCTATGAAATGACGAGGCATTCGCTTCCTGTTCATCAATTTCTTTTTCCTTCTGAGCTTCTTTTTTGGCTTCAATATCCTGTAACACATACAACAGAAATTGCTTAACAGTTCTCTCATTAGCAGACTATGAAGGCAGCTCTGGGCTGAGCCCTGACCCTCTCTGCCTCCACATCCCTTCATCTGTCCCAACACACACACTCGATACATTTGCCCACAGTCCATCTATTGGAAACCCTACTGCCTAGTTGCTCAGTTTCTAAACAGATTGTTCTACCAGCAATCCAATGTTCTGGCTGCCAATATTAATGGTCTCCAGCCTCTTTCTGTGAAATCCCTAATACCTTTACTGGCTCCCACAAACAACACATGGGATCTGCCCGTATACCAAAGTCTCTCTGCTTTGTAAACATGACTTCTTCCCTCCAACACAGCAACCTCCATAAACTCTTGCAAGTCCAATGACCTCAGCTTCTGAACTCAGTGTACCCTGCTGGAGTTTCACTACACCTGGCAGTGATTCTTAAAGTTATGACCAATGCCCTGAGTCGGGCCAAAGACCTCAAGGGTCACCTACCTACCTCATCTAATCCCATTCGCAACCTCCAGTGCTAAGAAACTCTGACATGATGAAGAACTGAAGAAGGACCAAATAAACAAATTACACTAAACTTGCTACTTGAAAAATGCATGAAATATTTATTCTTTCAGAAGGAAATATCAGCTTATACACATGCATACGGTTAGACAGGGTTCTGTAAACTATGGCCCACAGGCCAAATCCAGCCTGCCGACTGCTTCTGTATAGCCCTCGAATTAAGAATGTTTTTACATTTTTAAATGGTCTGACTGCAGAGATTCTGTTTTCTAAATACAATTCTCCAATAAAAGAAACTAGGATTCCTTAGCAAAAGGGCTGATTCCAGGGCTGGAGCACGGACAAGTGTGAGATGAGTCTGGAGTATTTTTTGGTGCCAGAAAGCAAACAAGTGCTCAAAAAGGAATGGAAACGTGAAAAGGACACAGGGGTCAACAAGAAGAAGCTCCCAATGGCCAAATGTGGAACACTTTGAATAACAAAATAAATAATAGTACTGGATTATAACCCAGAGAATAAAATAAATATCGATGAGTACATGCTGATATAAATGACTGAATAAAAAAATAAACTGGGGAGATGGGACAGCTCTTCCTTACAGAAGAATTACAAATAATATGTACAGAAGCAATGAGATGGTCCCGAGATGGCACAAATAGTTTGCATTCAACTACTAACCTAAAGGTTATGCTCAAACCCACCCACTGATACCACAAAAGACAGGCCTGGTGATCTGCTTCTGTTAGGATTACAGCCAAGAAAACCCTATGAAGCAGTTCTACTATGTAACACAGGGAATTGCCATGAGCTGGAACTGACTTGATGGCAACTAACATGTCTCTATGTATATGTACTCAGTGATACCCACTGGACAGAGGAGAACTGCCCCATACGGTTTCCAAGGAGCAGAGGATTCGAACTGCCAACCTTTTGGTTAGCAGCCATAGCTCTTAGCCACTACACCACCAGGGTTTTCACGTGTATGTACATGTATGAAAATAATGGTAATATTTTAGAAGCAATGAGGGAAATAGAAAATCATCATTAGAACACCACAGTAATAATTTGTGGTATGCAAGATTCACTGCTGAATGCTAACTCAGTGGGCAAAAGTTTAAGCAGAAATAGGACATATGAATAGTCTAAAAGCATCTCCCTCCAGATATTCACTAATTACAAAGGAAAAGATAGTATCTTTACAGTGGATAATCCTGGCCCACACTACCTTAATCAAATGATCAAGATCAACACAAGCATTAATAATACTTATAACAGCCATCTTGTACCCCGATGATGCTATCACCTCTGGCTCTGATAAGAAATGCAAACTCAATCAAATAACAAAGCCAAATTAAGGCACACTCTACAAAATAATCGCCCAGTAGTCTGAAAAAATGTCAAGGATATGAAAGACAAGGGAAGACTACAGAAATTGAAGGGACAAAGGGTAACCTAAATGTTAACTCTAAAACCAGAAAGTTCTTGGAAGAAAATATAGGAACAAAGCTTTGGGATTGATAGATTATCAAACATGACAACGAATGCATGAGCAACAGAAAACAAAAGAGATGACTGGGACATCATGAAAGTTAAATACTTATGTTCAATGACAGACTTTATCAAAGGAGAAAAGAGACAACCTACAAACTGGGAAAAAAAATCTTCATGAACACTGTAACTGATAAGGATCTAATATCTAAAAGATACAGAAAACTTCTACAGCTTAACAACAAAAAGATAAATAATCCAATCAAAAACTGGGCAAAGGGCATAAATAAACACTTTACCAAAAAAGATAGTCTAATAGACAACAGACACATGAAAACACGTTCAACATCATTAGCCATCAGAGAAATGTAAATCAAAACCCCAATGAGATACCACTTCACTCCCACTAGGACGGAAAAGATAAAAAAAATGGAAAATAACAAGTGTTGCACGGGATGTGCAGAAATTGGAACCCTCATCCATTTGCTAGTGGGAAGGCAAAACGGTACAGCTGCTGGGAAAACAAGTCTGGCGTTTTCTCAAAAAACTAGAGGTAAGCTGCCATAAAAAACCAAAAGCCCCCTGCCATCGAGTCGTTTCTCCGACTTCCACTCCTAGGTATACAATATACACTAGGGATCTAACAGAAGTGACACAAACAGACACATGCACACCTATGTTCATCACAGCACTATTCACAAAAGCAAAAAGATGAAAACAACGGAAGTGCCAACGACGGATGAATAGGTAAGTAAAATGTGGTACATACATACAATGGACTACTACTCAGTGACAAAGAAAAATGAGTTCCCAAAACATCCTGGAACACGGATAAACCCGGAGAACATTATGTTGAGCCACATATATCAATCACAATGAAACAAATATTGTATGTTCTCACTTTTATGAAATGACATGAACAAATAAATATACAGAAACTGATGTTAACTAGTGGTTACCAGGGATGGGGGAGGGAAGAGGGGAATTCACTCTCTAGACAGTAGACATTTGTTATTTTTGGTGATGGGCAAGGTAAAACCAAATGAGGGTGAAGTGTACATAGCTTGACGAAGGTAAACGATGTCACAAAAAGTACATGAAAAAAAGGACCTGTTGGTAATTGCTATGGCACACATAGTTTTGAATCAATAGCAAAAACAACCAAAAAATATATGTACAGATATATAGGTATGTATGAAGCCATATGTATATAACCCGTTGCCGTAGAGTTAATTCTGACACATAGTGACCCTATAGGACAGAGTAGAACTGCCCCATAGGGTTTCAAAGGAGCAGCTGGTGGATTTGAACTGCCGACCTTTTGGTTAAGAGCCAAACTCCTAATCACTATGCTATATGTGTATAGGTCTGTGTGTGTGTGTGTGTGTGCATATATATATACACACACATATACATACATATACACATACGTGTGCACGTATATATATAGGTGTCTGTGTATATCTATGTATATGTGACTGTACACACATATATTCATATATATATAAAATAAAGCACATGGGGGCAGAGTTACGGATATTTCTTAGACAAAACTACATACCTCATGGGATTGGATTTCTGGGTTTGAAGGATTAGGCCCACAGTCTCGTGGGACATCTCAGTCAACTGGCATAATGTAATTCATAAAGGTATGTTCTACATCCTACTTTGGGAGTAGTACCTGCTGTCTTAAAGGCTTGCAAGTGAACATCTAAGATACATCTACTGCTCTCTACTCATCTGGAGCAAAAGAGAAAGAAGGAAACCAAACACTCAAAGAAGAAACCAGTCTACAGGACAAATACTCTACACAAACCACGGCCTCATCTACCCTGAGACAAAAAGAACTAGGTAGTTTCCAGCTACCACTATTGACCTTTCTAATCAGGGCCACAATATACAGACCCTCATAGAGTGGGAGAAAAATATGGAACAAAATCTCAGATTTCTAAAAAATAAAATAAAATAACAGATTTACTGGACTGGTTGAGACTGAAAGACTCCCCAAGACTACTGCCCTGAGATACTCTTCAAACCTTGAACTGAAACTAACCCCTGAGGTCACCTTGTAGCTAAATAACAAATTGGCTCAAAAAATAATGAATATCAGAGGCGGGGCTAAGATGGCGGAGAAGTCAGAACCTACTTGTGGTCCCCCTTACAACAAAGACCTGAAAAAACAAGTGAATTGATTACATATGACAATCTAGGAGCCCTGAACATCAAAGGCAAAGTTGAGGAATCGGACTGCGTGGCAGGCGGATAGAGAGACGGTTCAGAAGCAGCGAGGACCTGCCAGACCTGACCTAAAGGGATCTGGTATCCTGCAGGCAACACACACGGTGACGCAAGCACTGGCACTCGAGATGCGTTTTCCACATCGGGAGCGACCAGTGGAGAGTCTGCTCAAGCCTCCAGAACCAGTGAAAAGCTGCACTTGACTGGCAAAGTATATGCATCTAACCTACTGCATGGATCAAAAAATACCCCCTTTGCGAAAACATTTCTCCCATTTACCTGCCCCCTCCTCGCTCTATACCAGGTCCCACACTGCTGTGTCCCCCAGGCTGGAAGTAAGAACCCATCACCCACCCTGAGCCATTCTCACGGCCTTGGAGAGGGAACAAATTAACAAACAGGAATAAATAATCCGCCAGCTACCTGAAGCTGGGAAATTAGGGCAGTCACAGCTCCTTTGCCTAGGTACAGGCATAAGGGGTCCACAAATGTTGAATGCCTTTCAGCGCTGCACAGACCTGTGTGGGCCCATTTCAACAGCACAGGCCCTCATTACCACAGTACAACAGGGTATATACCTGAAGCCTAACTTCAACAATATCAGTTGAAGAGGCAGGTTTGTCACATCTGACACCACTCTGCCCATTAAGCTGGGTCCTCACCTACCCACATCAGGGGCGTGAAGACTGGTGGCTCCACCCACGCCACCTAGGCAGTCGTGACACAGATCCGAAAATAAGTGGTGCCTCCTAGCC